GCAGTGTCAGTGGCAGAGGGGCAGCAAAGTGTGGAGTGGAGCCGCCAAATGAAAAGTGAACTTTTCTAAATTATGTATTCCAAATAATCAGAGACAGCGCAACGACAGCGAAACGTTTTTTGTGTGATCGTCGGCAGTTTTTGTTCCCTTTTTGCAGCATTGCAACTGCAGCAAACGACGACCCAGCGCTCGTGTGTGTGCATGTATCTGCCGCTGCAACGTGCATTGGTGTAAGTGAGCTACGAATTTCGGTTCGTTTCGGGGGTGTCTGTGTGTGAGTTGCGCCTGTGTTCGTGCCCGTGCCAGTGCCCGTGCCCATTGCAATTTTTGCAATTTTTTTGCTCGTTTCTAAGAGTATGCTGCTGCAGCCCCAACGCCGCGCTGCAATCAACTATTTGAGGTTAGTGCATGATTTCAGATACAGAATTATTGGCAGGAAGATCTTGCCTGTGCCAGCCCCCAAAATCCAGTCACACCTCCCCAGCAGACGCTGAATCAATATTATCATCTGAATCAAGGCCACTTCGAATGGAGGTGTGAAACGCTTAGCAAATCATTTTTGGGCGTGAGTGCCGCATAAATTCTCAGCCAATCAATTGAACATTATCGTAGGAATTTTTCAATTTATAAACTAAATGTAAATCCACCAAAAAAAAGTACTATAAAAAGAAGAAGGAAGATACACAACTTGGAGATGTTTTTGCGCGTAAATCAAGTTGACAAAATGCAAAAGAGATTCGCCTCGGGGGCGACACAGACACACGCACATAGGGTGGGGGGTAGGGTGTGGACAGCGGGGGAACACACACAAAACGGCACTAATGAGCAGCGAAGCTCCAAAGCAGAAAACTAAAAGCTGAAAGCCAGCAACAACATTTTTCGCCACAAATCATTTGCAATTTTTATTTGCTTTTTGCTCTCCGAATTTTGTGTGTTGTGTGTGTTTTTTTTTTTGCCTTTGCGAAATTCTCCCTGAGGCTAAATTCATTTATATTTTTGGGCTCTGAAAGAGTAGGGCACATCGGTGTGTGTGCGAGTGTGCGTTCGAGTATCTACGAATTTTGTGTGCGAATGTCTGCCCATAAAGGAATATGATGAATTATAGGCAAAAACGGCGGCAATTTTTGCACAAAAAACTAAAATCCACAAAATGTTCAACAAAAAAAAAAAGCAAGCGAAATCACTTAATTGTGTGTGCGTGTGTGTATCTGTGTGCCGTAGGTTTCGCTGTTTGCCATTTTTTGTTGTATTTTTGTTCGCTCATTTTTGGCGCTATGTATCTAACAGATACATCTCCAACACACAACTCCTAATGCATGTGTGGCGTGCTGGCGTCCATCCATCTGCCCCTCAGGCATGGGTTTTTCTTTCTTTTCTTTTTGCCGGTAGAAAAAATGTTGTTTGTCACACGACAGCGACGCCAGCGACAGCGATGTTGAGCGTTAATTAAATGTGCAGATATTTGGCAAAAAAAAAGAACAGATATCAGTGGGTAAAAGCCAAACAGTCGATGCTGGGAGTACCCTTTGGTGGAGGGATATTAGAGGTGAGGGTGTGGAATGTCAATGGGTTCAAAAAGTGAATTAATGGATGCTGCAGATGCCTGAAAATTACACTTTTAAGAGGAGGAATTAACGATCGATAGATAATCTTTGCTTGTAGCTAGACTCCCAAAATTAATCCGCCTTGAACATGCCCACATTAATGTACTATAACTATCAAAATGTGCACCCTCATTTGTGAGTGTATTCGCACAGGTGCAGCATACTCGTAAAGCAACTCCGAGTTGACAATGACAACAGCTAGCTGAATGCCTTTATTCAATCACTGCCCCAAAAGCGCTCCGAAAAATCGCCTAAAAAATGCCACAGCCACAGCCACAGCCCTGCCGATAAACCCTTTGCCCCCAGCCGTAGAGTGAACCCAAAAGGTAACCAAAATTTGTGCAAAAATACTCGACCGAGTACTCGTAAAATGCTGAAAAATTGCCCATTTGGCTCTGTTTTGTGTGAGTCACTTTTTGCCTTATTTTTATTTTTGTGGCGCAAATTGTTTTTATTATTCGCTCGCAGCTTGTCGTTGCTCTCTCCCGCTCTCTCTCGCAGCACTCGCAGAGGGGTACACTCGCACCCGTACCCGAACCCGTACCTGTCGCTATAGTTTAGGCGACGCTCGCTCTCTCCCGCTCTATCTATCAGTCTCTCTCCTCCTCGCCCTCTCTCCCTCTCTCTCTGTGTTGGGCAAAGCTTTTGTGTATTGAATTAGATTGCTGCACAAATTACGTTAAAATGTTTTTGGCGCTCGTTTTTTGTTGTCTTTCGACGTCGCGCAACAAGCGCAAAAAACTTTTTTGGCAATTTGTATATTTTGTTGCTCAGTTTTTGCTGCCTTAACCTTGGGAATTGTTCTTTTTTTCGATGGCTAGCTATGAGTTACTCACTTGTTAGACAAAACGAATGGATCACAGTGACAGCGCCATAAAAAATGCCAAAATTTGAGGAATACTTCTCAGCCATGGAGGCGCACTGAGGATGTGGCCGGTGGGTATCGCCCGTTAGGCAGCCGAGCCGAACGCTGTACGGGAAATGGGAGCAAGAGTGGGGCGGTAGGCCAGACTCCACCTACTTCACACCTGACAGCGCCACAACGAGACACCACAACAAGACACGAGCCACACCAAGCAGATACAAGACACAAGATACAAGTAACAAGACACCAGATACAAGTGCAGCGGCACGAGATACGAATGGTGCAAGATACTCGTACGTGCGAGTAAATGTATATTAATGGCAATGAGCGACGGCGTCATTGGCTGGCTCGCTGCTAGCCGCCATTTAAATAGAAATAGAAACTGAAATATCATTCTCCCCCCTCCCCTTAAGTGGATCACGACTCGAGTTGTGGGTGGGGGGTGGCAGCTGGGGCTGGAGCTGGAGCTGGCCATTGCGGCGCACATTTGACAACTTTCACTGGGCAGCAGAGCGTGAGGCCAGAAATTGGCAACGCGAATTTGCGCAAAAGATCAACAAAAAGTGGAGCATATGCAGAGTGCAGATAGCGAGGAACGAGCAGGAGGGACATACAAATGATTGCGGATGTGCGCAGATCTGGGTGAAAATGTTCCCATTAGAAGCGAGGTAGAAGATCGAAGTCTCCTTATCCTTCCAGACTGTTACACTTTATGCCGCTGCACAATTTGTGTACTCATTACAAGCTGTTAAAGAGGAGCAGCGGGCGCTGCTGGCGGCCCTAAACTCACCAAAGATAGTGCCACTTGGAAGGCGACCTGCAACGACAACGAACGCATAAATTGCAAATGCTGTCGCTCTGCCAATGGAGCGCAATAATTCACAAATAGCAAAAGGCAAAGGCAAAGGCAAAAGCAACAACGGGCAGAGGCCCGACGGCGGCAATGCATTTGACACGAAGTGCAATCGTTGCGAGAGCAAACACACAGCACAGCAAACCCCTCCCCGTCTCCCTGCTCCACAAGCGTGCATGTTCCGGACCCGCCAGCTCTCTCCACTGTTGAGGTATCTCACAGTTGCGTTCACTTACTCACTCACTCACTGGCGGGTTCAAGGTAGTTTACTTCGACTTCTCGCTCTCTCGCTCTCTTTTGCCGGCACTCGATAGCCGATTGACGACGCGACTGCCCATTGACCGTGCCGTGCCGTGCCGTGCCGTGCCTTAGCCATTCCCCCCGAGTCAACTTCTTGTAATCGCTGCTGGCGACACGCAAAGCGATTTTGAGTCTTGAGTCGATTCATTTCATTAGCAAAGTAGCCAGAGATTGTTTCAGGCTGCGACTCTGACTGTGACCCCTTTGCAGACAAGTCAATCAATGTGTGGGGAATAGCTCTCTTATCACATCGTAGACGGGATCAGAACATTTGCCTAGTCGTACCCTTGCTCCTCCTTAATGGATGTTGCTTGCGGGCCTAGCCTGGGGATATCTTTCTGCGATCGTGTGTCTATGTGCCTTTCCTTGTCCGTGTTTGTGTCTGTGCCGGGGCGCACGCTCTCCGAGACCTTGATCCCGCATTAAAAAGTTGGCACGTCGTCGTCATCGGCATCGTCGTCGTCGTGGGACAACAAAAAGAACACGGCACAGAGATAAAACCAAAAACAAAAAGAAAAGCAACAAAAAAGACAAAACAGGAACGAAAACGCTGGACTTGGGGTAGGCCAAGCCGCGGCATCTAATACACTAAAAGAACAATGCTAGATGTATGCCTATGTATGTGTATGTGTATGTATGAAAATATGTAAATATGTATGGGTGGGTTATAGAAATTCGATTCATAACAGTTAAATAATATATTTTTGTCTATGCATAGCTCCCTTTGCTGTGTGTGTCAAACGTCTGCTCAAAGTCGTCTTTACTCACCACAAAAAGAGTATCAGCAAGTGAGTCTCAAGTTAGGGCAGGGTGCGGGTGTTTCGGCAGTCGTTCGGTTGTTCATGACAACAAAGAAGGAGGCAGTGCAGGCATTTGGTCAACCATTTTGAGGGTTGGGGGGGTAGGCAAGCTGACTGCTTGGCTTGGCTGCTTGGCATGCGGTGTCCATTTGGTGCGCCACTCCTCCCAATCAGCCGCTGATGATCTTCATTGTTTTTAATTTGCCAGCCATTGCCAGCTAATGTTCCTCGTTTCCCCCCAGCTGCCAGCATGCGTTTTGCATACAAAAAATAATCAACAGTTATCCTTCTCTCCACTTGCAGTTCAACCAAAAAGGATTGATAAACAAACAACTTTGGAGGCCAATTTGAAAGCAATCAAGAAAAACCACAATTTAATTTCAACTAAAAACTGAAAACCAAAAGCCTCCTGCCAGCAGCAGCAGCGGCTACAAGAAAACAAGTTTATAAATCAAAGGAATAACAAAATAAATGTGACACTTAAGAAGAAAGGAATTTCAAATTTTGGACAAAATGAAGAGAAACAAATGAAGAGAGAGAGAGAGAGAAACAAAAGTAGCAGCAGCTAAGAAAGAGCAACAGAAAAATAACTACAAAAATGTGCAACAAAAATCAATAAGAGAGAAGGAAGAGTCCCCCAAAAGAGAGTGACAAAAGCCACCAGAAGAGAGAGAGAGTGAGCGAGAGAGAGCACTCTCCGGGTGTCTAGTCAAAGGACACAGACAGGCAACACCAGACAGCAACCAATAGGACATACAAGGATCGAAGAGAAACCCTAGAGAAGAGAGGCAGCGAGGAGCAGCACAATGGCAATCAACTTCTCGGCCTCGTTTGCGGCCTGCATAGCGGCAGGCCTGAAGGTGCCCCGCCAGATCATGTACTGCATCACACAGGACACGGGCCAGCCGTACGTTCTCTACAAGGACTCGCAGGACGCGGAGCGCAACGCGGGCGCCCTCGGTGCCAGCGCCGCTCAGTGGGGCAGCGAAATGTATCCCAACATCCAGCAGCAGGCGCAGCAGCATCTCAACGCCCAGCAGCAGCAGCAGCAACAGCAGGCGCAGCAGCAACAGAATGCGGCACAGGCGGCTGCCCAAGCGGCCGCAGCGGCGGCAGCAGCGGGCCAGCCCCAGAGTCCGCCGGGCGGTGGACAGGAGCCGCGCGACAATGGCAGCGGCGATGGTCGCCAGCAGCAGGTGTCGCCCTCGTCCAGTCCGTACCCCACGGTGCAGCAGCAGCAGCAACAGCAGCAGCGGGCGAATGCCGGCGGCGAGGATGATGCCATGAACCAGGTGAGTGGCGGAATCGCTGCCCGGAAACCAACATCTCACCTGCGCTTCCCCTTGCAGCTTCAGCAAAACTCCGCGCCAAATCAAAACCAAAGCAGCAACGATCCACAGCACTCCGGCTCGAATCCCGGGGAGGCGGGCAATCCGCATGTGCAGCAGAACGGGGCCGGCGGCGGACCACAGGGCGATCCCAGCAATGGCTTCCAGACGCCCGACTACTATGCACCGAGACATGCGGCGCCGCAGGGCGGAATGCTGGCGCCACCAGGCTTCCCGCCGCTTCACTATCTGAACAAGAGCGTCCTGCCGATGGAGCAGAACGGGGCAGGAGGCGGCGGCGGCGGCGGCGGCGGCGGCGGAGGAAGCGGTGGTGGCGGCGAGGCCTACTCGCTGCCGGAGCTGCTGCCGGGCCAACAGAATGGCCAGCAGAACGGCAACGGTGGACCGGCGAATGCGAATGCCAATGAAGGCGCCGCCGCAGCCAATGGAGGAGGAGGAGCGACGGGTGCCGGTGTGGGGGCGGTCAGCGGTGTGCCCACGGGCGGTCGAACGGGCAACGGTCCCGGGCGTCCGCACAAGAACAAGCCGCACAGCGATCTGCGGCTGTTCAAGTGCCTCACCTGCGGCAAGGACTTCAAGCAGAAGAGCACACTGCTGCAGCACGATCGCATACACACGGACGCACGGCCCTTTCCATGCTCGGAGTGCGGCAAGCGCTTCCGCCAGCAGTCGCACCTCACACAGCACCTGCGCATCCATGCCAACGAGAAGCCCTTCACCTGCCCGTACTGCTCGCGCAGCTTCCGCCAGCGGGCCATACTCAATCAGCACATACGCATCCATTCGGGTGAGAAGCCCTTCGCCTGCCCCGAGTGCGGCAAGCACTTTCGCCAGAAGGCCATCCTCAATCAGCATGTGCGCACCCACCAAGGCGAGCGACAGATAAATCCTACCTTACACAGATACAGATACAGATACAGATACAGATATAGATATAGGGGCTAGGGTTACGCAGTAATATTGACCCAACTTTTGGCATAAAACTTCAACAAGTTTCCCTGCAAAAAATCTAAATTTTTGACAATTAATTCTAGGCTAAGATCCATTTTGTGTTGCTGTGGCGATTGGTTGAGAGTAGAGTGGAAAAAGATATAGATACTGGATCGACTCTCAAGCAAGCGACAGATCAACATCGAAAAAACTCAAACAAAAATCCGTCTCTAGTGCAGCAAAAAGTTAGAAAATTCTCAGCAAAATTTGTATCTCAGCTTTAAGCCTCAACCCAAGCGCTGCTAACATTTGAACTTTCTCTCTTCCATGTACAAACGGAATGACACGTCCCCGTCCCCGTCCCTTACAGATGTCTCGCCACACCTCATCTTCAAGAATGGGCCACACCCGACGCTGTGGCCCTCGGATGTGCCCTTTCCGGGCGAGGAGAACGACACGAAGGGCGACATTGCCGGCGCTGGTGCCGGCTACCACGATGATGACTCGCAGGGCACGCCCGATGGCAGCGGGGGCATGCATTATCCGTCGTACTTCAAGGACGTCAAGGGTGAGTGATCTGCGAGAGTAAATGCATTCGAACGATCAATCCTTTAATTAGATCATCCCGCAGGTCAAAAGATACTGCCCGAGGTGCTGCAGCACATCGGCGTGCGTCCGGCGAACATGCCTCTGTACGTGCGCTGCCCCATCTGCGACAAGGAGTTCAAGCAGAAGACGACGCTGCTGCAGCACGGCTGCATACACATCGAGTCGCGGCCGTACCCGTGTCCGGAGTGCGGCAAACGCTTCCGCCAGCAGTCGCATCTCACGCAGCATCTGAGGATTCACACGAACGAGAAGCCCTTCGGGTGCATGTACTGTCCGCGCTTCTTCCGCCAGCGCACGATCCTCAATCAGCACTTGCGCATCCACACCGGCGAGAAGCCCTACAAGTGCACCCAATGCGGCAAGGACTTCCGGCAGAAGGCCATTCTGGATCAGCATACGCGCACCCACCAGGTAGTTGTAGCCTTGCCACAGTCTGCCCTAGAGTCTGCTGCAGCTTGAAGATTTCTAATCCCGAAACAACTTTCTTTGTTCCCACAGGGCGATCGACCGTTCTGCTGCCCCATGCCCAACTGCCGGCGACGCTTTGCCACCGAGAACGAGGTGACCAAACACATTGACAACCACATGAATCCCAACACCACCAAGGTGCGTCGCCAGCAGCAGCAGCAGCAGCAGCATCAGCAGCAGCATCAGCAGGTGCAGCAGCAACAACAGGTGCAGCAGCAGCAGCAGCAGCAACAGCAGCAGCAGCAGCAGGGCAACGTCCCCAATGCGGTGGCACAGGTCGCCTCCGTGGCCAATCATCTGATGAACGATGTCAAGAGCCTGGCGGCCCAGCAGTTCCTCAACAACAACAATCCCTCGGCGGTGGACAACAAGGCGAACATTCTGCCGGTGCGGAGCATAGCGGCAAATGCGGCAGCTGCCGCTGTCGTGCAGCAGTCGGTGGTGAAGAATGAACTGTACTTCCCGCAGTGCTATGGGCCGCCCTTCCAGCATCCCTTCCAGACCCAGCAGCAGCAGCAGCAGCAGCCACAGCAGCCGAGTGTGGCCCATGCGAATGGGGGACCCACGACGCCGGTGACTGTGACGGTGGCCAATTCGGTGGCGGCCGGTGTGGTGGTGCAACAGAACCCGTCCGCCTCCGTTGTGGCCCAGTGACATCCCACCACTGGAGCACCTGGAGCACAGCAGCAGCAGCAGCAACAGCAACAACAGCAGCAGCAGCAGCAGCAGCAACCGACGGCGCCCCAACAGCAACATCATCCGCCGCCCCCACCGCCACCCACCTCGTCCGCACATCATATCACGGCAGCAGCAGCGGCAGCGGCGGCGGCGGCAGCAGCAGCGGCCTCGCCCACCTCCACGCACGCCTCCTCGGTGGCGGCACCACAAACGGTGACGCTCTCGATCACGCTGCCGCCACCGCCGACGTCGCATCCGCCGCACCCAGGGCATCCGGGACATCCGGGTGTGCCCGGAAACGGAGGAGGTGCGCCCCCACCGCCGCCCACACTGACGCATGCGATACCCATCCATCCCCACATACACTCGATATTCGGATCTCTATGATGTCATCAGTAGGAAGAGGAGAACAGAGAGAGAGGAGCAGTAGGAGCAGGACTGCTGTAGAGGAAATCAAAATTGAGAGAAAAACACACACTCACACACACACACTATTCACAGTAATCGATAGGTTCGATAGGTTCGATAGGTTCGATAAGTTCTATAGATTGTAGACGCATACAAATTCTCTTAGTTTTTAAAACTAATCTTTAAACTTAAAGCCACAAAACCGAGTTTTGGCAAGAGGAGCTGCAGGAGCAGGAGCAGGAGCAGAGCAAGAAAAGATCGGAAGCAGATCAGCAGTAAAAACAGGACCGAGTACTAGTCTTTTCGAAAAGGACTCTAAACTCCTTTGATTACGAACCATGAACATCAAATGCAAATGGTGAACGATTGGGCGAGCTAAACAAAAAAGAGAAGCGCGAATGAGAACCAAACACACAACGTTATACGATTCCTTGTTTGATAATTTCGTTTAAGGACCCACACACACACACCACTTAAGACTACCAATACATCAAATATTTATACACACAAACAACACACAGAAGTTCGTCAGAGCAGGAGCAGGATGAAGCATAATTACGGGAAACAATCGACAAGAGTTATACGATTTTAGGCGTACCAATTAGCATACAACTCAGATAGAGTGACAGAGGGATAATGGAATGGAAACGAATATGGAATGCAGGACAGTGAGAGTGATACGGAGCGATAGATAGGGCAGCTATAAAGATGAGCAGAGAGAGAGAGAGAGAGAGAGTGAGAGAGAGGCGCTGAGCAATTTGTTTTTGATTTCGTTCTCCAGATATTTGTTGAAGTATTCGAATTTTTGTTAAATGAGTATGGACAAAAAGAAGGAAAAACCAACCCTTATTAGAAACTTCTAATTTCTTTTCAATTGACAATGTGATTTTTGTATATGCATGTAAAACGGCAATCTATCGTATAATTAATTATACAATGCAACGAGCAGAATAAGTTTTGTGGAAGGAAACCTTAGTGCAGTGAACTTAGGCTTCATTTGTTGTCTTCCCCCCACCCAAAACTAATTGTGTGTAATTTATGTTGAGTTATTATTTAGTGAGAGTAATTAGGCATACGTTTTAAACCCAAATATGTCCACACACAAACGAACCACAGGCAGAGGTAGAGAAAGAGAAGAGAGGCGGACATGGGATGCAATTTCAAATGTGACTCTTCGGGTGCCATACAATCGAGCAATAGTCAAAGAAAAAGATACAAATATCAACTGAAAACAGCATCTGAAACAACACTAAACTATCCCTGACAAAACCCCAACCGAAAACCCCACTGTGTGGATATAGATGACAAATTTAGTTTCATATCAAATTTTTCCAATGTACCGTCAAAGCATTTATGATTGTTATTAATCTTATAGAAAGGATGGAAATATCGCAGAAAATTAACTCTAGTTTAGTCGTTTCAACCCTTTTGCAAGTATCTACTCATTATTTAATACTATTTAGTGTTTAGCCAATTAAGTTGAGAGAGAGACAGAGAGAGAGAAGCAGAGAAAGTGCGCTCGGGCATACGATTTGTTTTCACTGTTTTTAGGCATACAGAAGAATTATCAATTATGTTTGCATATTATTATTATTTAATGATTTCAAAAATAAAACAAAAACACAATTATATTTTTTTTTCGATTTTCCTTATCAGTTTTTCTCCCCACCCAGTGTATAATTTTAAGGACATTTTTTGGCATTGAACACACGACAATTTTTCGGCTTGGACAGGCGTCTGGTTTTTGTGATACGAGTGGGGCTCCGTTATGGCAAAATGTTTCGGCAAACAATGGGTTAATGTAAAATTGTACATAGAAACGTTTCGATATAAAAACAAAACAAAATTGAAATTGAAATTACGCACAAAAGTTTTATAAAATAGTTTGAGCAAAAATTGTTTGGCATTATAAGAGTTTTTATGAACATTACGAACCCACTGCGGTTACGATAAAGTTAGTCCAAATTTTTAAACACCCCTTTAGGCACATTGAAAACTCTAAATCAAAATTTGAAAGTAACACAAAGAGAAATATTTGCATGTTTTGGCACACAATGGCAAAAATAACATCCAAAAATTGATACGGTACGGTGCGAGGCCCGTGATGTGGCGGCTTTTATTGGAATTACGATTAGACCAAAAGGGAATTGATCCGAACGATCGCAACGATCGGAAGGATCGGGCAGCATGATTTGCTATAAGAAATACGAAACAAACTTAACACTAAGCTAAAGCTCTACTCTAGCATACTTTTAGGCCTTTTTAGACAAAATTTTAAACAACAATTCTTTCGGCTTTAAACGGAAATCGAAAATTGAACGACGAACACAACAACAAACACACACACACACACACAAAACACACACAAAAACCTTTTGGCTTTAAATCAAAATTATGTTTAGTTTTTAGTGAAAGCAACTAAAATGGACGAAGCGAACAAATTGATGGGAAAATGTTTATATCAAAGTAAATTATGGCAAATTATGCTATAATTCCAATAAAAGCAAAAATTTAGACTGAATGTCGCTGTGATAAATGCAAAGAAAAAACAAAATGAAACGAAACGAAAACGAAAACCAAAAACCAAAAACCAAAACTAACACATAAAACTTTTGTACATTTTTAGGCATAAAAACAAAATTTAAAGCATACACTTAATCAAAAAAAAACAAAACAAAAACCAAAAAAACATACTTTAGGCGCTATAAATTCTAGCATAAAGACTAACAACAAAATTTATGAAACGCTCCACAAATGGAAAAGACTTTCCATTTTATTTAACATTTTTCTTTAATTTAAGTTTTAGTTGATTACAATTTTCAGTTTTGATATTTCTATTGAAGGATCGGATCGTTTTCGTAGTTGCAAACAAAATTCTGAGAGAAGGGAGAGAGAGAGAGAAGAGTACGAAGAAAGCTCCAAGAAAATGTGTAAGCCAAAAGCTTCAGTGAAACCCAGGGACAAGGGAGAGAGAGGGAGAGAGACGGAGAGAGAGAGGCTTCAGCTGAAGCGCAAGAGAGAATACAGAAGAGCCCAAGAGCACACACCGGCCACGACATAAATATAACGGTATAAAAAGTTTATACTGACGACGAAGCAAAGCCTAGACAGACAAAGGGGCTAACCACCAGACGGAACCTAATATAAAATAACAAAACAAAACAGAACAGAGCCTTGACAGACAGTTGAGGCAGAAATACATGTAGAAACGGAACAGCAGTTAACCCTGCTCAGAGATGAGAGACAGCAAACAGAAACAAAGCATTACAAGCATACCTAACAACCAAACAATAGCCCAATTTAAATAACCAAGAGTACAAATACAAGTAATTTTTATAGCAGAAATTTTAATTGCAGTCTCAAAAAGCCATAATAATTAAACATAAGCAAACGAATGTACTATAAAAGCGAACAAAACCCCAACACACACCACACAAGCAACAAAGCAAAAGGCATGAATATGAACAAAAATAAAAAGAGAACAATCAAGCATGAACCAAAATCAGATAGGGAAAAAACCAAAAGCAGCTCGAAAGCTCCAAAGCCAACTGGACAAGCTCCAAAGAAAAAACCACAAAGAAAAATCCTTTCTTCTTAAACATGAATATAGTGAGAAATTATAATACCAAAGGAAAATAATGAATGTCATGATAAAAGAAAAGATTAAGAAAATCGAGAAAAGATATTTCAGCATAATACAAAATTAATACACTTCCGGCTTACACTTCAGATACAGTTACAGATCCAAATCCAGACATTAAATTCATATTAAATGCCGAACAAAACATACAACAAAACAACAACAAACTCCAAGGGGGAAAAAAGTGTGGCACATGCCACATGGCACAGAACCTGACGAGCGAAATGCATTATAATTGAGTACAGCCGCTTTCTGCAATAGTGATAATAGTTTTTAAGTCAACCACCAAGCGTCAAAGCAAACCATCAAACAACAAACAAATACAAATAAATAAAACAAGCAACAATTCAAGAGAAAATCAAGTAAGGGAATGAAACGGATAGCAAATAGGAACAGCATAGTAAGCATAATACTAACGATAACGATACAATGACAATGATAATACCATAATATTATAAAGCGAACGAATGCCCATTGAACAGCTGTTTGATTTGATTTCAAACTGGAAAGCAGAAAGAGCGAAACGCAGGCAGCGGGGAGACACAAGATGCATTTAATTCAAAGTCTCCAAAACGATTTTTAGTTGAATTCTCAAAATATCAAACAAGTAAAAGATGGAAAATACTTGAATGGAATATTTGAATCGCTCCAAATACACTCTAAATAAAGCAGAGAAACGCAAAAAACCAAAAACCAAAACCCCAAAACGCAAAACGCAAAAGCAAAACAAACATAGCATTTAGTGCATATATGGATGAAAAACCCTAAACTCTTATATTATATTGTACGGTGTATTATATTTTTTAACGTATTTAATGCATACTCTCTATATATACGATATATCTACTTATATTTGAAGTAACCTTAAACAGTTTGTGCCGCAAGAGCCGTGGGAATAGGAAGAATTAAACAGATCCCCCAAAATATTACTGAATATCAGTTGTAAAATAGCCCGAAGAAGATAGTATAATAAACTGTTGCCATTCAAGAGATGGAAGCGAAAATCCGAAACAACAATAGCCTCGTTAGTTTATAAATCAGATGAAATATCAGTGAAATATCTCTATACAAAATATTGCAAAAATGTCGAAAAATCCTGGCCCAATCAGCGTCCGGGGTTGCCACAAATTCGTTGGGATGGTGTCAAACGAATCCCTTTTCCAGTTACACGCGAAATCTGCCAACATTTATGGCATTCCCAGACACTGACTGGGCCAAGGGCATTCCTCGTTTTTGCAGTACACACAATGTGCCCATAGAACAAGTAATTTATGACAGACAGAAAATCAAACGATTTATTTATATTATTAATAATATGTACGAAACTGTTGTTATTGCAACAGAGACAAGCCACAAGCCACAAGCCACATGAAATAGTACCGAAAATATTTTACAGAATTTTTACAATCAACTAAAACGAATCATACAATAGTTACAGCAAAGCGAATGGAAACAGCAAACAAGCAAAACAAAAACAAAAAAATAGTAAAAGTCGAGTCACAGAGCTCGACGCAAAAGCCGAAAAAAATAAACCAAACGAAAGAACTGAGGGAAAATAGTAAAATTTTCAGCTCAGCAGACATCAAAGCAGATACGCGTACGAATGCGATTATATTCGATTAATTGTTAAGTGGAAAATGCAAAAACAAATATTTTTAAAACTTGCGCTCGCCTAAGTGTAAAGAGAGAGAGAGCAACCGAAGGAGTCGTCAGATACAGATACAGCTACAGATACAGATACGATGACACACACAATTTGTTATGTTGACATTTATTTGATGGGAAATATTGTATACGTTTGTAATTATTATGAACAATTGACAGGGACTACCATGTAATAACTACCATAGAAATAATACTGAGCAGAGGCAATAGAAACAAATTTTATTTATGCAAGCAATGACCCTGATAATGCACTTATTATTAATTATATACTCAAGCAGAAACTGTACATAAACCGAAAACCACAAAGAAACTGCAACTGCAAACTGCAATAGTACCGACATAAGTAAATCAATTATTTCGCTCATTTTGCTATAAATGAATGCAAGAGGAGGAAGTAACAGAGCGGGGGAAACGGAGGAGCAATCAGAGCGTTTCAGGAGTTCTTTCTTTCAGTTGAACGCGACATATCCACAGACAGAGTGAGAAGCCCCTCCCCCACACCATCCATCAATAACAACAACAACAACAACACACCAACAACACACCAACAACACACAAACTTAAATTTCATTTTATCAGAAAGTGAGAAAGTGAGCAGAAAAAAAGTGAATCAAAAGCAAAACCAAACCACAAATCAAAGCAAATCAAAAGAAACCAAGACAAAGCAATAGTGATACTAAACTGCCAGGATCAGGACACGGAACAATGTACCTGCCCTGCCCTGGGTCAGCCATAAGCCATTAATTAATTAATTAACCAATAGCCTGATGCAAGTGAGCAACAATAAACCAAAACGAATCTCTTCATTTACAACTGACAACAAAGAATGCCACGGATACCGCGAGCAGCAACCATAGTACAATAACAATACATTTTTCTTATTGAGCGACTTTTATACAGCAACAACAAAACCAAACAGAAACAGAAACAGAAACAGAAACCAGTTGAGCAAAAGCAATAGCAGCAAATACAATGATGATTAAGGGCAGATGATCCTGCAGTATGATGGAATGAATCAAAATGGGGCACACCACAAGCCCCCCGACTAAATACAAAACAAAAGGAAGGCAATTTTAAGTATACAACAACAAAAGCAGAGAGCAGAGAGCAGAGAGCAGAGAGCAGGTGGGAGCAGCAGCGACTATATACATATATTTTTTAATGCAAGTGCAGCACTAACAATAGGCAAAAGATTGTTAAACATTTTTATATTTCAATTGTTTTTCATTTCCAATTATGTAATTGAGTGTAAAAAGAGAATTAATTATACAAACCTATATAGAGGAGGGGCGCAGAATCA